AACTAGAAGTCACATAATTTTATACAAAAACATTAGCTAAATTATCATGACACTTTAATAAGCACGAAGTTCACTATTGAAACAGATGGAGAAAAAAAATGGAAGAAATGCAAATAGGTAGCTCTTTTAGTAAAGGGGCCGTTCATAAAATACGTCACGCTAAAATCAGCTTTTTCCGACCCCCTCCCCCCCTATTGTCACGCTGTGTCACACTTTCTGTGACCACTCTTGAAATATTCAGTCACAAACACGGAGACCCCCCCCCCCCCCCCCCAAGTATGATTAATTTCAATTGATAGTACACAAATTTTAAGAATTAAATATTTATTTAGTTTTTATAATTAAAATTTAAATATATAAATAAATATCTTTTCATAACAAATAAATAAATCATATTTCTATATATGTTTACTAAATACGAAATAAATGATTTTCTATCTTGATGAAAATTGAGAAAGAAAAATAGTTGAAAGAAATACTAATTTAATTTTTTTTAATGAACGACGAACGTCACGTTGCCGTAGACCCCCCGTCCCCCCTTGTCACATCTTGTCACACTTAGCAAGACCCCTCCCCCCCCCCCCTTGTATGCGAACGTATTTTATGAACGGCCCCAAAGGCAATAGAGTATTATATAGAATAGGTTCAATGTATAAAAGTAGGTATTTTATTAAGTCGAAATCACTTTTTTGAAAAGGGGAATTTTTGAAACGATTTAATATTATTAAGACTTTTCTTATTTCCTTGTTATGATATAATAATAGAACATTAAGTGTCAAATGGCTGATTTTATTATATCACTCTGCTAACAGCATAAATAAAATGAAGTGCATTATTTTTCCGCAATAGGCTAGTTTACTCATGTCGAATTGTATTAAATAAATGTTTATTTCTTAAAGTATTTGGTCTAAGGAACCTAAATATATCGATTTCACTTCATAAAAGCAGAAGATTGCTGTAATAATTTAATTTAAAAAAATATTTTTTCGTCTATATTTTTTAAACACTAAAAACGCTGTTCGCCATGATTTTGACGTCTCTTGTGGTAAACAATTAAATGTCATTCGCGTGTTACTGTAGGTGGATTCTTTCGTCTGACTAAATTTATCTTAAAACACTTTTAACTTTAGGAAAGAAAAAAACAGTAAACTTAGTTTTTTTTGACAAAACTAATTATGGATGCCGGTTTTGTGAAAGCAGAAAGCACAAATCTGCCAAGAATTGACGCATTGATGGTTGGTGAATTTGTTGCACTAAACCCCGATTTCTGCTCTGCGGAGCAGAGAAACGACAAGGCATCTATGTAAGTACAGTGCATTTAGTATTACAGTGTAGTAATAAACATAAAACTGATACAACATATGAATAAGTGTAATAAAGTTGCGTAGGTTAATTTCTTTCGGCACTTTAATCCACAACTTTCCTGGAGTCTTCAAGGATGTGTTTTTATATTCTCGTACAATACAGTAATGATAATTACTTTATTTTTCGTGGTATTTATTAGAAATCATGTTTTTTTTATTATAAACTCAGTTTTAAGTAATTTTCTACGTGTTTACGAGTTTTTGTTTACCAGAGTTCACGTCATAGCATAGATAATCTATAGACTAAAATGGCCGACAGCGTTTTTGTATGTCCATGAAAAGTCTATTTTAAAATTAAAGATTTATAGCTTTCTAGGTTTAAAAAAAATACAATACATTTTTTTTCGGTCTAATAGAACATTTATTAACCATTTAAAACCTTTTTCCAAAAAGGGTCAACTAGCCTATTGTTTCCATATTCTAAGAGTACCTAAACGTATTTATAGTATGACTAGTGGCCCGCCCTCGCTTCGCTTCGGTGTAGAGCTGAAGTGTAAACTACAATTTTTGTTCTCAGGCTTGTAATATACACAATGCCATTCATCTATGATTCTTCTTATACCTACATGCAAAGTCTCAGCCCGATCGGTTTGAAAGTTTCATACAAAGTTTCATTCCCTATTTTATCCCCTTGGGGGTAGAATTGATCAAAATCCTTTCTTAGCGGATGCCTACGTCATAACATCTACCTGCTTGCCAAATATCAGCCCGATCCGTCCAGTGGTTTGGTCTGTGCGTTGATAGATCACTATGTCAGTCAGTCACCTTTGAGTTTTATATATATGGATTTTCTAGAAACTTGGCCTCTCGTCTTCCCTTCACTACAAAATTGCTAATTGAAAATGGTACTAAACATTTAATTACAATAATGCCATACTGCTTTTCATACATTTCCAAGAAGGTCATTCCAAGTTTTTAACTCTCTTAAAAAAAATCTTAAATCCCTCCAGTAATAAACAAAATATGTTAAGTTTACTCTACCTAACACTTTCACGTTTACTACGAACATCTGATACAATTTCTATCTTGGTATGTCACATAATCCTTGGGGCATTTTTATTTCTACAATTACGAGGAAAAATACCCTGAAGCATTATTTTGTAATAAACTACGAAGAAAAATGTGTCAGGTATTTTATTTCGAGCCGTTGCTTATTATTCTACTGTGAATACCTTTGCGGTTGCCGAGTTCTAAGATTTAAATCCTGATTTAATCTTAGATTAAAACAAAAAGGGTAGATACAGTACGCTCAGACTTGCATCAAACAAAAACTGATCCCACGGCAGCGCGAACGGGACGGCGAGATCTGCGTCACTGCATTACCGACCCGAGCGAAACAGCACGTTAAGTTTCAACGGCAGCGCGAACAAGACGGCGAGATCCGTGTCACTGCACTACCGACTAAACACGCGACCAGTAGTCGACGTCACTACCGAATAAGATTCAAAACAAACAGCAACAAAAACAAAAAAAATAGTATATTTTATAGTACTTACGAATGAAAAGTAATGCCGTGGGTTTTTTTTTTAGTTCTTGAGCAATTTGAGCACTTTTGAAAAACATACTTATGTAGGTATTGTTTTATCATATAAACACAAAATATTATCAATATTTCTTTTTGGCGTTCACATGTACGTCGTTTGCATGTCAAGTTGTGACTAAAGTGATTAGGGTCGTGGACCACAATTTGTGAGGATCACTTTTGTGAGGCTAGTGCCGTATCTACCCTTTTTGTTTTAATCTAAGGACATAATACAATCTTATACTTAAAAGAACAAAAGAGTTGTGGATATTTTTTCTTAAGTATAATTTTTCTTGTGATATCGAGCTCGATGCTCAGCTATTATTTAAAGTACAATATTTATGATTCTGGGAAGTAAGAGTATGTGAGACAGGTTACTACTACTATAAAAATAAATGAACAGTATGTAGAGTTAGCGGATCCGCACACGGGCCACACGCCACAGCTACAAACGCCGCCACGGGAAGCTAGTAGCCGCTACTAAAGTGGCTGAAGCGCGCGACAGCGGCCGACTAAGGTAAGGGAGAGAGGGGTGGGGAATCGCGCGATTGACGTGTGGCGGCGTTTTTTATCGGCGCATTAAGTGGCCGGTACGGGCTACAAGAAGCGAGCAATGACGATTTGTAGCGTGTGGCGAGTCCATATAAAATGTATGAAAACTACAAGAAATATGCCGGGGGTTTTGTGGTTGTGGTCGGTGGCTCGTGTGCGGCGACACTTAGAGATAACTTTAAAGAAATTAATAGTTTAACACTGCGCAATATATTTATGAAAATACTAGAAATGTAAGATATAATTTTATTATGATGCATTTGCAAAAATTGTCAAACCCGCAACTTTAACACGAGATTTAATAACAAGCTTGCCGTTCCATTTTTCAGTAGTGAGTGATCGTAATACAAGGACAAAGTGTTTCTCGTAATTTGTAATTTAATTATTTATTAGATATTAGTTATTTTTCGTAACAGTAATGTGGTGTCTGTTGCCGCATCCTATATACTAAAAATATAAAGTTTCCTGTAAAATTTATTGTAACTATATATCTATATTCTAAATGATGTAATGGAAGTTTGTGTGAAATATTTGAAAAATGAAATGTTTCATTTTTAGCTTGACGACTCTGTATACAAGTATAATAATACAGGGAGAAAAAAGCAGCCCTTGCTGAGTTTCTTGCCGGTTCTCCTCAGTACGAGGTCTCCCGCCGTAGTTTTGCGAACCGATGGCGTAGCTTCTTGACCTTTACAGTTAGTTGCTTGTAACAGTCTAGACTGAATAAATGATTTTTGAGTTTCAGCAGCGGATTTGACGCTCAAATTAGAGCGCCCGTCTGGAAAAGATACCTTCTACAAAAAAAAATGGTTTACATTTCATGATGCTTTACTTTTGGTCGTAAATAGAAATAAATTACTTACAACTCGTTCGTGCTACGGAAGGCATGTTTTTTTATATAGCCAGATAGGCAAATGACTCTACCCCACCTGATGATATGTTAGATGGTGATAGAGTCCAAACGCGAAGATAGCTGGTACAGCAGTAATAAACTGCCACACAAACGATCCTGAACTTGCCGGCCTGCAAAAATGCTTCTTCACGCCTCTCTTAAAGGATCCTAGATTGTAGGAAGGAGGGAACACGTGCTCGGGCAAAGAATTCCACTTGCGTTAATGTTAAGTCTTTGGCCCCAGTTGCATCTGCAGTTGTTAGCACCCGCCAATCCGCACTGGGCCCGCGTGGTGGGTCATGGCCCAATCTCCCTATTCCATCTATAGGGAAGGCCTGTGCCCCAGCAGTGGGGACATTAAGAGGCTGGTGATGACGATGATTTGTTTCTTAGGGTTTCACGCACATTACTCATTAAATAAAATTAGTTTTAACGGGTCAATGCACGAAACTTTATTTATTTATTGACGTTTCGCAGCCTTTTCAGTCGTCTGCATCGTCAGAATATATTTATTTATAAAAAATTAAACAAGCATCTCAATAGAAGATCTATACCAGTGTGCACTGACAGCGTATGCTTGTTCTTCTCATTACGCTTCTACTCCAGCAATGGGGACATTATTGGTTGATGCTGATTATCAAAATAATAGCTTTTTTTCTCATGTTTCCAGATCAAGAATGAGTTCCAATTGGTTGGCGTGGGAGTGCATAGTGTTTGGAGTTTTCATAGCGGCCACATCGTGCGTTCCTCTATGGACGAAGAGGAGAGATCCCGTGGAGGGAACCAGTGCGAAGCAAGCCTACATATTCGCTGAGGGCGGGGTGTCAGTTATTGCCATGATACTGTCAGTCGGCAGGGGAACGCTGGGTGTCAGGTCTTTTTTAGGTGAGTTCAATAAGTTCGCACAACGCATGAAGTTGGTCGCTTTAGCAACCAACTTCATGCGTTACTTTTGTGTTTACCGCACATTAAGAAAATCTACCAACAAAATAGAAATAGAATCTCTATTTAGTGGGTGCAAACGACTGCATTGTGAAGGCCTATCAAAAGTATTTATTAATCTGGAACAACGGAACCAAAGCGCGATTCAGGAGACTACAGCGCCATCTCTTGACCATTGGTGTAGTAGAACCAAAAACCACATCTTTATTTTTTGTAATAAAGTAACAGTTATAGGTATTCATATTTATAATATTTATCCACATGTTTCTAGTTTGTATATTCGGAATACGTGTTTGAGTTTCATACAAGTGCAAATCGCATATGTTCTAATAAATTATATTCAGTAGCGATTTTAATTGAATATTTTGATTATTTATTTATTTTTTCAAATTAAAACTGAACTTTATTGACTGTGTCCTTTTCCAGACTTTTTATTAATTTATTGTAATTAATTATTTGCATGCAATTAAAAACTAATTTTAAACGATGCCAAAGAAGGATAACTTCTCACGCGCCTACATAAGTACACGCACCCATTTTATTTTCATAACTCGATGTTGCGCACCATTTTCAGGATGCATTATCTAAGAGTATCAGTTTAAAGAGACACTAAGATAAAGAATGTACCCTGAGAAGGGTGCGAAACGTCGAGTTATCTATATATATATGAAGCGGAGAGCTAGTGGGATGGAATATGAAGGCTAGGATTTAGGACGCAATGGGTTTATTAACACGATTCTATAGTTAAACACAAAATAATATTATATCTGATGACAGGCAAAGACTACGACAAACGTTATCAATTTTCAAAGCAAAAATCATAATAATGACAATATTAAAGTATTTTGGCAGTGGGCTGGCCATATTTGCCGAAGAACCGATAACCGTTGGGGTAGACGAGTTCTAGAATGGAGACCGCGTCTAGGCAAACGTAGTGTAGGACGTCCTCAGGCACGATGGAGTGACGATTTGCGCAAGATGGCTGGCAGGAGCTGGATGCGAGTAGCCCAAGATCGATCTGAGTGGCGTGCATTTGGAGAGGCCGATATCCAACTTATTTGTTTGAAATTTTATTATAAACTAGCGGCCCGCCCTCGCTTCGCTTCGGTGTAGAGCTGAAGTGTAGACTACAGTTTTTGTTCTCAAGCTTGTATTATACACAATGACATTCATCTATGATTCTTCTTATACCTGCATGCAAAGTCTCAGCCCGATCGGTTTAAAATTGACAAAGTTTCATACAAACTTTCATTCCCTATTCTATCCCCTTAGGGGTAGAATTGATCAAAATCCTTTCTTAGCGGATGCCTACATCATAACATCTACCTGCATGCCAAATTTCAGCCCGATCCGTCCAGTGGTTTTGGCTGTGCGTTGATAGACACTATGTCAGTCTGTGACCTTTGAGTTTCATATATAACTAGCGGACCCGACAGACGTTGTCCTGTAAAAAACATTGTCCAGCGGACAAAATTGTGAATCTAAACCATTCTCAGATCCCCTTGAACACACACAAAAATTTCATCAAAATCGGTCCAGTCGTTTAAGAGAAGTTCAGTGACATACACACTCACAGAAGAATTATATATATAAAGATAATGAACTTAATAGAAGTGGAATAACACCATAATTTAGAAAAGAAATTCAGTACAACTTTTGAGCCAAATGGTATAATGCAATAAATGAAGGGACAAACCTCCAATCTGCAGCATCAATCACCAACACAGGTGCTGGTCTCTGACTCAACAGACCAATACTCCGACCCCTATCTATCCACAACCGTGCGTTTTTGTCGAAATTTTTTACCACGTACGACAAAACTATGGAATATGTTGTCGCTAGCAGTGTTTCCGGACCAATACGACCCAAGAACCTTCAAAAAAAGAGCGTACTCCTTCCTTAAAGGCCGGCATCGCATTTGTGATACTCCTGGTGTTGCAAGTGTCCATGGGCGACGGTGATCACTTACCATCAGGTGAGCCGTCTGCTCGTATGCCCCCGTTATTGCCCCCTATAACATAAAAAAAAATAAAAAATATACATGTTCAAAGATAGGAAAAACACATCAATATCTCCCAAAAAAATATTGTAGTACCTACACGCCGCATGAACGTATTTCCAGCATAATTAGTATAAGAAGGTGAAATATAAAAAAAATGTAGATTTAGAACGCGAGCAGGTTCGTGGTATTTTAAATTTAATTAGTTTTAATAAATTATAAAAGTTGCATACTTGAAGTCACAAATTCTGAACCCGGTTGGACAGTAAAGTCATTCGTCGTGGATGTTCCAAAGAAGCTTTTTTTGCTTTAAGAATTGTAATTTATGATGAACAAAAACGGGTTTTATATTACGAGGGACAAGGAAAAAGTATTCGATTTATCTGAGGGCAACGACTCTGGATGTTTTGGATATTGAACCTTAAAAAAGGTTTTGCATTAGTTTTTTGCGTTGTGGCTCTGAATAAATAGATTTCTCCGGCTTTTAAAGACCGTGACCGTGAAATTTCGCCAGTGCACAAGAAAAAGATATCACAATCTGTTTAGACACATATTTCAATAATAATAATAAAATAATAATAATATTTAAATCTAAAGAAAAGTTTACTAGAAAATATCCACGCGGACCAGGCAGCGGACGGGACTCGAACCCGCATCCTTCGCTATCCGGGCGAATGCACTGACCATTATGCTACCACGGCCCTGTTAGTAGTATTCTAGTAAACTTTTCTTTAGATTTAAACATCTAGCAGTTAAATGCTTAAAAAATAAATAGAATCAAAACAATAAAAATATTTACCATTTCGTAAGTGGAATTCTTTACCCGCGCAAGTGTTCCCTTCCTATAACCCCCAGGTCCTTTAAGAGAGGCGTGAAGAAGCATTTTTGCAGGCCGGCAAGGTGAGGTTGATAATTTTACTAAAAACTCACGAAAAAGATAATAGTTTTCTTATCTATTGTCACGTGACCCAAAACGCTTGGGATTGGCGGAGCCTAAAATGACGTCACACGCAAGTAAACTTCCGGTTAAAGTGACATTACATTGTATCGTTTGACGTTTTAATAACAGTCGTGTACACTAGTAAGACGCCATATTGTGCAGGAAAACGTTTTCGTGGCAACTAGAAAATGGAGTTTTTGATTTGGTTATTTTTACTGAAATACAAAACAGAATGATGAATAGACTCCATAAACATTAGTCAATAACGTGAGATCGTTTTCTAAAACTTGTCAAATACCCTATTGGAGTTTATGCAAGGTAATATACGAAGCTCAAGAGGATTGAGAAACTTCGCGGGGTATGAACTCCTTTGTTTCATATTAAATATTGCCAGATATCTATCTACACACTTAGATTAAAACAAAAAGGGTAGATACGGCACTAGCCTCACAAAAGTGATCCGCACCAATTGTGGTCCACGACCCTAATCGATTTAGTCACAACTTGACATGCAAACGACGTACATGTGAACGCCAAAAAGAAATATTGCTAATATTTTGTGTTTATATGATAAAACATTGCTGAAGTGTGTGTTTTAAAAAGTGCTTAAATTGCTTAAGAACTAAAAATAAAACCCACGGCATCACTTTTCATTCGTAAGTACTATAAAATATATTTTTTCATACAAAATGCTGTTTGTTTTGAATCTTATTCGCTAGTGACGTCTAGTACTGGTCGCGTGATTGGTCGGTAGTGCAGTGACGCGGATCTCGCCGCCCCGTTCGCGCTGCCGTGGGATCAGTTTTTGTTTGATGCAAGTATGAGCGTACCGTATCTACCCTTTTTGTTTTAATCTAAGTCTACACACTAGAAATTCATTTCATCAAAATCGGAGCTGTGCGAAATTGCGCTGAGCGGGAGCTCTATTTTTGAATCACTCGTCTTGCGTCGAACGCTCGATTTCTACTAAATTTCATTCGACATATTTAATTCCGTATTTTTGAATCGCTTGAGTGCACGAATGGGTGAGACCACTCGCTGCATGGCGAATGGTGGAGGCGAATGATAGAATAATTGTTAAATTTTTGTGCTATTAGATTACGATAATCTATCATTGTCATGCTTTATATGAAACGACAACAAGAATTTTTGTTCGGTTTTCATTGCGGTAATAACCGGTTTTTATTTTTTCTGCGTAAAATGAGTAAAATTTCATATTTCGTATTAAACAGGTAACACCGGTGACGCATGATTCAAAAATACGGAAAATCAGTATTATACGACTTGAAAGTCGAAGGTGACTTATGTCGCATTCGACGATACTATGTCAGACGAGTGATTCAAAGATAGGGCTCCGGAGTCGTGTAAAGTGGTGATGAGCTGAGTTGAGTAGATTGAAGATGAGCTGAGCGGAGCTGTGAATGCGTTTTATATCGACGACCTCCGTTTCTCGAATGGTACTGTTTCTGCTGAAGCGGAGCGGAGAAGAGATGTTTTAAAGTATGTATTTAATGAGATATGTATTTTAAGCAATGCGATGGTATTTTTTTTAAGACACTGCGTGCTTCTGCAGGCTTATTTGCGAACGCATTTTTGAAGTGTAAACTTCTTTAGTGGCGTTGTGCACATTTTTTGTATTTGACTTTCAATGTATTGGATGAAACATAGTAATGTTTTATTTTATCTTATTATAATAATGAGTCTCTATCTAGGACGTCCAGGTGGCAGCTTTATTGCGAAGAAAGTGCATTTTCTTTACAATAGATGTCGCTAGGTGCGCTTAAATGTGATACATGTAAGTTTATTTTTTTACAATAGATGTCGCTAAGTGCGCTTAAACGTGATTCATGTAAGTTGATTTTTCTGAGAGATAAACTTTTTTAATGTAATATAAATTGTCATGTTCGTGTACGATAGCGCAGTAAATATATAAAGATTTTGTTGCGACAATCGCTCTTGCACATTAACACTGATTTAAATTTTGTTGCAAGATTTATTCATAAT